AATCATGACCATCCACAAAAATCCAAATCTGAAATCTTCAAAATTACCATAAAACCTTAAAGAAAAATAAATGGAGGTGTCTAAGGCCAAAGATAGCCACCCCCCCTAGTAGAATTAAGGTTTCCATATGTTCTTCAAACTAACCCCCAATCCCACTTAACAATCCCATCTAACAACATAATCATTCATAAGAACTCATAGCTTAGTCTATCCCCTGTACCCTCATCTACTATTCTTATTTTACATTTTCACTAGATTAAAGTGTCTTAGTTAGTCTTTAATATCTTCAATTTTGATATCGGCTAATAATTCAAAATCTTAATACTTGATTAATCATTTAAAATGCTTATGGACTGTAATATGTCTAATTATACCTCTTATTTAATTATTTCTAATTACTTTTCTATATCTTTAGTTATTCTGCATTTATCTAAAGTATCTGATGATTTATCTCATTAAACCAGATCATTAATATTTAAAAGCAATTCCTCATAATTTAATGTTTGTATATTAGTTTATTTAAACGTACTAATCTTATTTTTGCTTGCATTTGGTTAGAAAAATTCTACATCATTAATTTTATTTAATTTGAACGAATACTTCTATCTAATTGAGGCGATTTTTTCGATTAACTTCTTTTATTTACATTGTTTCTTTTAATTTTATTGATTCGCAATTTTATCCTATTGTTCCTTTTACTTTTTTTATTCCATAACTGATTTATTTCCTCAATCTTTTTATATTATTAGGAGCTACCATTTACAAAGGCATTCAACGTATGCTAATCTTTTTTCTGTTGATATATTCTTCGAATCTATGTCAATCAGAATTATTTCTATGTTATGATCTTTAAAAAGTGCACTTAAGCTAATGTTCTCTATATAAAATATAAAATTTACTGTATTATTTTTTAATTATGGGGAGCTAATTGAATTTGATTATCTGTATTGAAGTTAGTTATTATTATTTTAGCATTGTTGAATGCTTCAATAATATACAGGTAGTCTATATCAAAAGAAATTTGTTAAAACTTGGTTTACATTATCTTAATTTCTTGCAAATTTTTTTACTATTCTGATATTTTATTAATTTTGAATAATAAATCAACATTCTATTAAAAATTTAGGGTTGGGCCTTTTTCTGATAAAGCTTATTCTTGTGATTTAATTTGTTCTTTTAATTCATTCTAGATTTCTAGTAAAATCTAATTAACCTTATTTTGGAAATAATTGATTTGTGTTAAGAGGATTTACAATTATTCTAATATTAATTAGATTTCATCCTTCAATGTTTATTACCTCTATTTCATATTGGTATAATTTATTCATTTGCTTGTTAAATTGTTGATTAATTATTTTTATCTGCCTTCTCAATTATACATTTATAGCAAAAGTTTTTAATAGCTATAATTACCAATGACTCTAGGTCTACAGCAATTATCTCGTTATTATGAATTTGGCACATCATTGATTAGCCCTCTTAATTTTAAGTAGCTGATAAATTCATTTATGATATTTTTATTAATGATAATTTCTTTCTTTACCTTTTAAACATCTGTAAATTTTGAATTCTATTAAAATAACATTTATATGCAGTAAAATTCATATTAAAGC